TCTGAGATTCTGGTTCATTATTTCAAATTGAACACATAGATGCTGTATTTAGTTATTCGTCCAATAAATTCAAGATTTTATTTTGCAAATCAAGTTATCAAATCATCCGAGTATGTTATTGGATAAAAAGCTGTTAGCGCAATTCCTATGAGATTAATTAAGATCATAGTAAGTAAGAGTAAAATATAAAATATTAGTTGAGAAGAGTTAGAAAAATTTAATGAAATGTCAATTAGTTCAAATAACCATGACGATTATCACACCAAAACACATCAAAATAAAATTCGAAGCTGAACAGAACACTGTAGCCACTCCAGATGCCAAAACCAACGATTTAAAAGTAGTCGAAACATTCATTGTCGTAACTGTTGTTGTTGTTGGTTTAGCAGTAGTCGTAGTTATTATAACGTCTATAAAAATAAAAGAAATAACTTCACAATACCATTATCTGATATTTATTTATTTTCAATATATACTCGCCTTTTTTTGATGTAAATTTGAAAATCAAAACAAACATCACATTCAAAAGTAGAGGAATTACCAAGGAAACAGTCACCGTAGTAATTACATTAGCCTTGTTGTTATTTTTCGATGGAAAAGAATTATCTGTTGTTAGCGAAGCAGTTAAAGGAACAGATTCGTTCTTCTTTTCGGAAATTATGATATCCATAATATAAAATGAAGAAATTTCAAAGATCATATTTCTAGTATTAACTTACTTTATTAGATTTTATCTCAGTATATTTATGTAGAAGACAAATGGTGATTTATCATATTGATGCATAATATTATTTTATACAACGTTATATTAAAGTATTGTCTTCTCGATTTTTTTTATCGTTCTACACAAATAGTAATTAATAATATTACCAAAATTAATCATCTGGAATGAATGTAAAATTTAGAAATATTCACCATTGAATAACAAAATGAAACATCTTCTATAAATGAATTTTGCCGTTAGTAGATTTCTATTCTAACAGTATTAAAACGGATGTTGATAATGAAGCAAATGTGAATATGATAACTGAAAAATCGAATCTACTGTATTCGGTGTTATAACACTAATGCAATTGATTGTTGGAGTTATATACATAAAAGCGTTGTCCGATAAATTTCATTGTTGCAGATATTTTGAATCACATTGAAATCATTAAAATAATAGTCTTATTTCTATTAGTGCTGTGAAAGGTAGTGGTTGATGGTTAACTTTAAAACTTGTATTAAATATAATAAACTTAATTTGGCTTATTGTCAGCAACATGTGTTCTTAATATGAATTAAACAAAAATATATATTTTACTATCAATCTAATGGTTTCATATAGAAGTATCATTTGATTTTGTTTTCAGTAAAATATCGAAAAATTCATTAAAGATGGAATTTAGAAATTTCATCGACGAAAAGCATCTAATTCTGACGCACGTTCATCTTGAATTAAAGGCTATTGCATTAAATAAATGCAGCAATTGTTATATCATATAGCTTTATAATATATAAAGTCGAAACAACTTTTGCACATGATAATAGGTAATCATAGTTACTAACACAAAGTTCATCTTCAGTTTATGCACTAAAAAAAAACATGACTTTCATAGTTAAATCATTTTAAAATACTCAATTCTTTTTTAATATTTTAAGAATACATTCTTTCTAATTAGTGCATGAATATTTTTATTAAAATTAATCAAAAATATTTCGAAGGTGGACGAATGGGAAAATCTTCTGTTCATTTGCTAGCTATCATTGGATATATTTAGGTTCATTATCCTCTACTAGTTATTAGTATCACCTCCTAATTATTCGTCAACATATCATGCATAACCGCGATACCCTTATCGTTCATAACTCTCTCTAAATGGGTAGGCGGGTAAATGCTTTCGTAGATTTCACGTGCTTGGTATGCCCTTGAGAGCGCAGTAGGATAGTCATTCATTTTAAAGTGAACGACAGAAAGAATGCGATAAGTATTAGCCAAGTCCGGACCGTTGGCATTGGAATCTTTCTCTAGAATAGTAAGAGCTTTCATGAGTAATGAAATAGCCACTCCGTAATTATTCGATAGCATGTATGTGTGTGCCATATTAGTATATGTTCTTGCCAGTGTAGGATGATCGTGAGAAAGAATTTTCTCTTCGATTTCAAGGACTCGTCGAAAGAATCCGAGTGACGTTGCCCAGTCTTGCATCCCATCAAAGACGTTAGCGATGTTATTGTAGGCTATAGCCAATTCGGGAAGAACCTCATTACGGCGTGCTTCATAGATGTCAAGGGCTTTTTGATAAAACGACAGTGCTTTTAGATGATTTCGCGTTCCGTAATAGATATTACCAATGTTATTATAAGTTCTACCGAGGTCCGGATGATTCGAACCTAGAGATTTATTTCGTATCTGAAGAGCCTTTTGGTGATATGATAACGCATTTGAATAGTTATTCAACCTTTCGTTAAGAAGACCCAGCTCACTCAAAGTATGACCTAATTCAATATGGTCAGGCTGTAAATATTTTTCTTTGATTTTGAGTGCTTGTTCATAGTAGTGCGTGGCATTTGCATAATCTGCTGTCATTCGATACGTTTCACCCATCGAAGTGTACCAGGTAGCGAGGTGTGGATGAATCGAAGGAAATACTTTTTGACCGATTGCAATGGCTTTCTTCACGTAAAATTGAGCATCTCGTGCTTTGCCAAGTTTGACATATGCCTCACCAATATAACCGTAGCATAACATCAAAGGCCGAAGATCACTGTCAGTAATGGTTTCCAATATTTCTAGTGACTTCTTGTAATTTAAGAGTGCAGTTGAATAGTTACCCACAGCTAAGTGTGTTTTACCAAGGTCATGATACATCAGCGCACGAGATATATCAGGAATAGTATAAATTTGAAGTGCTTGCTCTAAGAGTGAGAACGCCTTTGAGAAATCGCCTTGTGGATGTTTAGCTGCCCCTAAAGCATGAAGACACTTAGCATATGACATACTATCGGGAGCATAGGTCGAACAAAAATCGGTAAATTGTTGGAGAATACTTTCAGCTTCGTTATGGTGTCCCATCTGCACAAATAATTCAGCTAATGAAAACCATGGAACACCTTCAGATTTCGTCGTATGTTGTCGAATGTAATCAGTTAACTCCGTCATTCGTTTATCATTATTCATAGTGGATAATAATTCTACTTGCCATAGTCGTTCATTGATTTGATGTATTTCACCAATTTCAAAGATGCTATGCATTGAAAATAATATTTCACTCTCCTCTTCAAAATGACTCAAGTTGCCCAGAGAGATGAATGGTATCGATGATAACTTCGAAATGATTTTGATTTCAAAGAAAATGCCTATGGATGTAGCATCAGATCCATTACTATCAGCGAAGATAAGAGAAACCTCTCGATTAGTCGAGGTAGATAAAAAGCTATTGAACGACAGTAAACCTCCTTGGCCTTTTTTTAATTTTTCAAAGTCAGATTGAGTTACAATTTGTCCTCTGTAAACGGTTAGAAGATTAGGTTTATCGATCCACTCTTGATAGAGATGTTCAATTTGACAATGAAGATCATGCATAAAGAAGGCCATTTTCATTATGATTTTAACGTCCAGTATTCTTAACGATCGATTAATGATTGAATACAAGAATGTCTCTTTGGAATACCACCATATCGGCGAATGAAGAGTATATTCTCGTTCAAATTGATCTATTGCGTGTAAGATTCGATTGTTATCAGCATAATACTCACGACAAAAATTGACGAAAGGTTGTCTGGATTCATCATTGTATTTAATCTCTAGAATGATTTCTTTAATTAACTGCGTATACATAAATGATGGTTCCAGTTCATGTAAAGATTCAGCATCGAAATCGTTCTTCTGAATAATACTAATTGGAATCAATGCTTGATTACATTGTCGGATGTCATTCGTAATTGAAGGCAAACACTCTTCAGTTTCAGTATAAACACCTTTGATCTTTTGATATTTGCTCGTCCACTCTTTCTCTTCTCTGCTCAAGACATAAATTGACTTAAGTTGAGGACATTCGGTCACGTATGATATAATATTTTCACACGTGTCTCCAAATACAATCAATATTACATAATCGTTTTCAATGTCTGTTAAAAAATCTACACACTGATCAATATCACTGAATGTCTTGACGATATTAGCAATATGTTGCACTTTAATGAACCACTTTTGTGCAGTATCATAAGGTGAATATTGATTGGAATCAAAGCAAATGACACTGGTATTTTCAAGGATACGAGCAAATGAATACGGTTGATTGTCTTTATTGATAAGATTATTAGTTGAGTCATTCATCGGAATCATCGTTATCGGTATTAAATTTCGATCATATTCTTCAAAAGTGCGCTTGAGCGAGTTACAAACATCTTCAATACGAGTAAAATAACCCTTTACTTTACTTATTCCCGTGATCTCATGCACCGGTGTGTCATTACACAAGATATATATTGAGTGAATTTGATGGAATTCTGCCAGCATGGATACTAAGCATTGAGTAACATTGATCGATATAATGATAAAGACTTTGCCATTATTGATATTATTTAAGAGATCTACACATGCATCAATACCAGTAAAAACGTGAACTATACCGAAAATATGTTGAACTTCAGTAAACCAATTTGTGTTTTGATCGATATCTGAATTCAAGCAAATAAGAGTATAATCCTGTGACATAGTCATGAATAACTAATGAAAATAATTTTCTTGATCAACAGTATTGTCGGTTTGATCACAATGTGAAACGGTTATGCTCGATGTTGAATTTTTTTTATGAAAGAAAGTTTTATTTTTAAATTCAATTGTTCCTCGATGCAACGCTGAGTTTTGGTTTTGTCGTTAATGGTACTTTTCTATTGCAGAATCAATAACAAAAAATATTCTTGTAAGGAGAAAAAAAAAGAAATGATTGCTCCTGTGAATGGTTCTGTTTTTCAACATCGAAACACATGTGTTGACAATAACACCATCTTGAGGGTGTGAGTGTGAGTAGCATATTTATCACACAACGACATCCTTAGTATTGCCTTATAAAGATAAATCAAATGGAACAATGAGAATGTACCGTTCATAAAAATGTGTTCTCTTGGAATAATGACAAGCATATATCATGAACTACGGACGACTTTACACACAACAAACAACATTATTTATAATGCAAATACAATTGTAATCTGTTCATGCTTCGATTGTCGATTCATCTGGCGAAGCATTGACATAGACAAAGTGTACCACTAATTTCGGTTTTGACTGCCGTTCTCGTTGTTGTCGACGTCGTCTAGCAAGATATCTTCGATGTCTTTTTACTGTATCAATTTTGAAAATGTATGTCAGTACATCCAACCCGACAAATATCGAAATAACACCGACAATACCTATTATGGCTATGTATCCAACAGACCGTTTTATGGCGGCTTTGATAACGAGCGAATTGCTTTTAATTTCACAGAACCGACCGGTAACATCTTTTGTCGTACATTCACATGTAAAATTTAGTAAAATCGGACGACATTGCCCATTGTTTTGACATACAATACCATTACAGTAATCGGTGAGTGATTCACAATTAAGACCTTCGTAGCCAGGATAACATTCACATTGAAAAGTTGTGGGACTAGTTTCATTACACAGGCCATAGTTAAGGCAAGTCCACGGTTTACAAGGTCTAATATCAATCTCACAGTGTGAGCCTGTGAACCCTTGCATGCATGTGCATGTATAAGAAGACGATAAAGTATTGACGCATGTACCATTGTTAATACATGGATTAGTTATCTCACAAAGATCAACGCTGACATTACAATTAAGACCGATGTTACCATTCCTACACGTTGGAGATTGCCAAACAGAAAAAGGAGAGAGTGTTGCTACAGTGACGAAAGTTATCAGTGCAGTGGTTGTAGTTTCTTCATCGTAGGTCATCGCTTTGAATGAACTTGATCCGACAGATGATGCAATGATTGTAGTTTCTTCAGCGTAGGTCGTAGCTTTAAATGAACTTGATCCAATAGACGATGTAGTGGTTGTAGTTTCTTCAGTGTAAGTCTTTGCTTTAAATGAACTTGATCCAACAAGCAATTTAGTGGTTGTAGTTTCTTCAGCGTAGCTTGTTGCTTTGAATGAACTTGATCCCACAGGCGATGTAGTGGTTGTAGTTTCTTCAGCATGGGTCGTTGCTTTAAATGAACTTGATCCGATAGATGATGCAATGGTTATAGTTTCTTGAGCGTAGGTCGTTGCTGTGAATGAACTTGCTCCAACAGACGACAATGATGTGCTAGTCGTGGGTGTTTCACTAGTGTCTTGATCAACAATCGGTTCCACACTCGAAAATAGCAGACCATCGACCTCCAATGATGTTGGCAGTAAAGTTGTCACTTTCGATGATAGATATTGAGTAAAATCATATCGACACAGCATAGAAGCATTTGATGATGCTTGATTATCTTCACATGAGAAATCAAAGTCACTTGTTGTCCAATTGGAAAAATACAATAGATAGTTATCTGAAGGAATTCGAATAACGTACGACATCGATGTATTCATCGTTCGTACAACCAGTGTACAGTTGAACGAATTGAAATCGTCGGTGGCGATTGTTACAATTGATGTCAATGGATCTGTCCATAATTTACATATCATGTTACATGCTCCACTGTAGCCGTAGCTATCAATACATTGAAGATGAGTGACATTCGAATTTAGTGTATTGTTCATTAATTCTGGAAGAACTTTTGTGGTGGCAATACCTGCTAATGGTACAAATCATAATGGCCATCCTAAGCATATAGAAGAAATTCTGCAATTATTGGAGAATAAGTTATTAGATTACCTTTGCCACAACCACAACAATTAAACTCAGGATAATTGTAAAGCGAGCCTAATGTCCATTGGTTACCTGGTGTGGCAGTTCCTCCAGAACACCATAGCTGCTCATTTTCATACGAATCGCAAGTATATGCTACTGTACTACGACTTGCAGTATTGTTGCTGATCCAATTTGATGTACCAATGCAATCTAAATAAAACGGAGATTCATTGATATTAGATTTACGAAGCTGACAATGCATACCTGGCGATACACATTGGTATGTCGTTGTTGGTGACAGACACTGGAAAACATCATATCGGCATAATATCGAAGAATTCGGTGGTGGAGTTGTACCCAAGCACGAAAAATTGTAGTGATCTGTTGTCCAATTAGTAAAATAAACTATATAGTTGTCTTGAGGAATTTGGAAAGTATATGACATTGAGGCATTTGTCGTCTGTAAACTTAGTATACAATTGTATAAATTAAAATCGTTCTCAGTAATATTTGTAAGCGCTATAACTGGATGTGTCCATGTTTTACATGTCATATTACACACACTAGAATTGCCCATATAATCAATGCATTTTAAATCGGTAACACTCGAATTTCTACTATTGCCTGTTAACTGCGGAACAGCTTTGGTAGCTGCATAGCCTGCCTTTGGAACAAACCATACTGGCCATCCTAACAAAGTTCAACAACTATTATAGAGAATATAGTTGAAAAAGTAGTGAAATACCTTTGCCACAATCACAGCAGTTGAACTCAGGATAACGATATCTACTACCTCCTGTCCAAGAGGTATTCTCTTGGAAGGAACCATTAACACACCACAAAGCATTAAATTGGTAGTCGTGGCAAGGATGCCCGGCACTATTACTCCAACTAGCAGTGTTATTACAGGCTAAACAAGAGTAATTTCATCAGTTTTTTCAAAAGATTTTACTTACCAGCTGCTCCATTCGATGACCTTCAATAAAAATATAAAAATGACTCATTTTATAAAAGACAATGATCAAATACAATACATACATGATCCATTGGAAAAACAAACCGACAACAACTAATCGATAGACAAATAAACTTATCATCATATCATCGTCTGAATGTGAAACTCATTTGTTCTCACAGTCAAAGAAAAATAATACTTCTTACTATAGATTCTATTTATTTTTCTTTCATACTAACAAATAAATTCTAAATTTTGGATACTTCTATCGTTCGAAAGCTACCGTCGACACAGATTTTAGATATGACGTTTTTACAATATTCTGTTTGGAATCGAGCTGTAGACGTTGTGGAGAATAACGTCAACACACAAAAGTTAATAGTACTTGAAAGTAATCAAACGAGTGCCTACCATACCTCTCATGTCCTTTTTCTTGTGCAAATAGTTGAAAATGTTGTTTAAATAATCATTAAATAAAATGATCGACTTTTTAACAGAATAAAAGCGTGTAGGATGGATTTCACAAAAATAATGAAAATTGTCATGTGGTTGAATTAATTGCTCATATAAAATAAGGAAAACAATAGCTTTCGAGTCTGCTGACTTATCATCAGTTGCACGATTTTTTAATAACCGAAAATGAAACAAATTATTAAAAATGATAATAACACCTATATACCACGATATTGCTTCGTACGAAATAAGAATAAATATAGGATTTTGATAATTAATTTGAGAAAAATAGATAGTTAT